CCCAGTTGCCTTGATTCAAAGCAGGCACTCAGTATATACTGGCTGAATAATGGACTATGGTTGAAACCCAACTACATAGCAGGATGCATTCTACAGGAAATGTGGGATTTCAACAGTGCTTGAACTGGGAAGATAAGGTCTGAGAGTACCAAAGAGCAAATAACCCAAACAGCAGAAAAGGTGGTACCAACAGTTAACACGCTCAGCTGCTAACTGAAAAGCTGGAGGTTTGAGTTCACCCAAAGTGCCTCAGAAGAAAGGCCTGGCGATCTACTTCTGAAAAATCAGCCACTGAAAATTCTATGGAGCACAGTTCTACTCTGACACGCATAGGGTTGCTTGAGTCAGAACTGACTTGACGGCAACTGGTTTGGTTTTATTTTGACTCCACCTCAAAAGAAGGGAAAACAAAATTAATCTGAAGGTACTTTAAAGATGAGTTCCTTACTTCTAGAAGAAGCACCTCTTATATAAGCTGCCTCAGCAGCAATGCTGCTTATGCAAGTATACTCTAAAGTAAGCAGGGCTGCAGATAGGACAACGCTGGGAGGACGCAGAGCCTAAATCCAAATTAAGACTTGCATCTTTGTCTGAAATTTCTAAAAACACGGTTGAGAATGGGTGTCAGAAACACATAGCAGACATTCAGTAAGAATTTACTGAACTGAGAAGCCTCATTTAAGTTTCTCTTTTGAGGGTGAAGATCAGACTGGCTCTCTTTAATAACACAGTTCCATTAGGAAGCCCAGGACCAGGTTGGCAGTTTACCTGCACACTGGATTTAAAGGTGCAATCAAGCACAAGCAGACATTTATAATGCCCAGATGGTCCCTACTTTATTGAGAAGTTGCTTCTTGGGTAAGATACCTAACCCAAGTCTATTTAAGCTGGTGTGGTTGGAGAGACCAGGTACTAAGCACTGACTCTGGTTGGGACCTGGCTTCCTTATACCACCACATTTCATCATGAATAGGATCTATTTTCTTTACCCCAACAACCTAACATCTAATTCACATTTGCTCCCTTTGCTTGACAATCCTGATTCTAATTAAATCAGCTTTAGTGGCTCAGCTGGAAGGATCCAATTCTTTTTCTTTGCCGATCCCTAGCTAAGGGAGGTAACAAATATGTGGTAAATGAGTCTTAGAGACACTAAGCCTAGGACTTGCAAATAAGCATCCTTGGGCTGCTGATAATCAAGCAGGGGTACTGATATTACACTTCTCCTGGGGACTTCCATTTCTCACTACCCCTTTCAAAGTCAGCAGGTGGATCTGGAGAAAGACAAATCCTGCCTGCTACCCCAGTTTGGTGAAGCATGAATTGTTTTCAGTGGCAACATCTCTCTCAACACACCATCTCCACAAATTCTTTGACACTGTTTCATCTAAGAGGTGGGGTATAAATCCCCTCCTCCTGAGTGTAGGTTGTCCTGGTGGGACAGTGGTTAAGAGCTCAGCTGCTAAGCAAAAAAGTCAGCAGTTTGAATCCACCAGCTGCTCCTTGGAAACCCTATGGGGCAGTTCTACTCCGTCCTATAGGGTTGCTAAGAGTCGTTGACAGCAACGGGTCTGGTTTTTGGTTTTGAGTGTAGGTTGGGCTTAGTGGCTTCCTTCTAAGGAATGGAAGGAGAAAGTGGCAGTGTGCGATTTCAGAGGTTATGTCATAAAAGGGACTGCAGCTTCCTCCTTGCCCTCTCTGGGATCACTCACTCTGGAGGGAGCCAGCTGCCATGCCATGAGGTCACTTATGCTGCCCTATGGAAAGACCCACATGGGGTCAGGGGCATCCTGCTAACAGTCACAAAGAGAGAGCCTGGAAGCGAATCCTCCAGCCCCAGCTGCCTGCAGCACCTACCGACATCCTCCCTGTGCCAGAACCATCACGCTCAGCTGCTCTCCAATTCGTAACCCACAGAAACCGTCTCACAATGTGTGCTGTTTTAATATACTAAGTGTTGGGACAGTTTGTTACAAAGCAGTAATACAGGGGAAGGACAAAACTGTTGGCTTGGAAGCCCATTACCTACAAGGCAGCTTCTCTACACCTGTGCTCTTGAGCACACTATACCTATTTAACCAGAATAGGCAGAAGTGGAAATTGATGAACCACACTAAAGGCAGGACTACAATGCATGTCTCCTGCTGGCATCTGGAGGAGGTCATTTCTTATTAAGATAGATTTTCCCCAGAAGCCTAGAAACATGGTTTCCTCATAAAAAGAAAAGTACAAACGGCCACTAAGATTTTACAAAACCTAAGAAAAAGCCAGGATAGATTATTCATTTAGGGCTTCATCTGTCAGAGTCCTTCCAAACAACCAGGAGAAAAGCACCTACTGGATGCTGGTTTATCCTGAAAACGATTCTATGGGGCATGAAACAAAGGTGTTACCTGTTGGAAGTTTGTCTCTTGCCTTGTGGAATTACTTTTTAAATGCTGATTTATGGCGATCCAAGTATCTCTACAAGTGGTGGCCTCCAGAAAAGAACTGCAGCAAGCAGTAAGAAGGTCCCTGCAGAGGAGGGTAAGGGACATGGCAGCGGCTGTATCACACAGCTAACACTCCCAAGAAATACTAGAACACGTCCTCTCCTTAGGAGGCTGCGTGCCGATTCCTCAAGATACGACTCAGTTCCTCATGTTTTCAATCCATTTCCCATTGTTCAGTGAGGAAGCCAAGTGTTCATCTGCAGCAATAAAGATCATGAAGGGCATACACTTCTCACTGACAGACTGACTAGCTGCTAGTTGCAGTCAGATTCCACAGGATGCCAAGGTCAGTGTATGAACAACGAAGCTTCCTTCCCAAAGACTCATGCTCCCCATATGGCTCGCAAGGAGGTCCTGGGCAAGCTTTTTACGCAAATTACAGGGCAACTGAAGTTTTCCCAAGATGATGTAAAGCCAAATTTGAAGTTTAATTGAAATCGGAACAGGGATACATTAAACAAACAAACAAAATACTTTTCTGATCATCAAATTTTGAGACTCAAAGCATCTCCAAAGCACTGGAGAACCAGCTTATTCCTGAGACATCAGTCATCACAAAAGTTTTTTTCCATCTTTGAACTATTCACATTTTGTAGCAGAAAACAAAGTTGCTTAGACATCCTTCCTCCCTTCTGTCTGAAACGTGTTCACAAACAGGGTCTTTTCACAGTTCAAAAGAAAAACAAACAGCTTTCTTTCTTAGCCAACTGGCCTGTTACTCTTCCCCCTGGGATCTGATCTCTTTAAAGACAGTTCAGGCCACCAAATCCGACCAGAGATTCCCAGGACACCAGTGGCTATTTCATTGTCTTTCTAGAAGGGACGGGTGCATTGGTTTGTCTTCGAGTGGAGTCATTCTCCTGCGATTATTGTGCCAGTCAACGGTCACAGGAAAGTGGGGTGGGGATGAAGGGGAACGAGAAAGCAAAGTGGTAAAAGAATGAGGCTTTCATAAACAACCCACGGCAAGGGCAGAATGGTTCAGTTTTACAAACCACCCACTACAAACTACAAACATGCACACCCAAAACTAGAGAAGGAAAGAGCTCAGAGAGACTGGGAGACAGAGGACGGTGACACAGAACAGCAGTCTTCCACAGACACCTCTCACCTCCCTAACACCGGAAGATGTTTAATTAAAAAGTTGCTGCCCAAAACTGTACTGAAAACACATCTAAAAATAGGTCTGTAGTCTTAAAAATAAAAGGTCGCTCCTCAGATAAGAGTGACAGATATTATCAGATACCAACACTTGACGTATCTTTGATATAAATTTGAAAAATGGCCTGCCAGAGAAAAAGGAAGGAGAGAGGGAAGGAGGGTGAGAAGGGAACATTCAGAGTAATGTGGAAGGTAAGAAAACTGGGAAAAACACGCTCAGAAGTCCATGCTTACCTATCCCAGCAGCCAAACAAAGCAGGCCCATGAAGGAAAAAAAAATTTAGTTTTCTAAGAACACTGTGAAAGTCAACTCTAAATTCAAAATATAAGAAACTGAAATCTGAGACAACAAATATCACAATGCTCACTGGGCTGAGACTGGGAACTCAAATGGTTCAATGCTCTTCAGAGACCATTCTTAAGTAGTATCTGGGACAAGACTATCATCAGGCCTTATCCCCCACATGGAGGCCAACGTGCCTCCATTACTTGGGGCAGACCTGCTCCGGGTGTCTCAGGGGGAGTACAAGAGGACTTCGCGAGCAGCAAGACGCAAGTAGGGAGAAACGGGAGAAGAAGAGGAAACAACAGCTGGTTACGGAGGGCTCCCCTCTGATGTAGAGTTTAAAACGTTTGCACAAATGCGCTAAGTGAAGGAATAGGAAGGTGAATACCAAAGACAGAAGACACTCCTCCCACAGAGGAAGGAAGGGAAGTAACCTCAAAACAGTGTCAGAGGGTAATGCTACCAGAGTTGCACAAATCATGCTCTGTCCCTAAGGACAAACACCTCAAGGTCAAAGGGAAAGCAGGCTCCTTTTGTTTATTATTTCCCCCTCATGGTTTTAAACACCCCAAACCCAGACTCTTGCAGCACTGGACCACGGGTGGGATACAGGCAAGTGAGGGAGAGGGTAAGGAATATGAATAATGCTGAACCCATCAAACCTCTGTACCCTTCCCCAGACTTCCCAGTCAGGTAGTAATTGGTAGATTGATACTTGATTTGGGATTTTTTTTTTTTTTTGGGGGGGGGGTGTGTCTTGATAGAAAAATGACCAGGGAGGCCAGAGTTTACTGTTTTCCTCTGAGGCTGCTTAGTTCTACAGAAATATGCTAAGGGCCTTCACTCAAATCTGTCTAACTGGGAAGGGGAACAGGAAACGGGGAGGAAACGGTCAGATGAAGCTCATCTTCACATCATTTGGCACCCGGCGGGGGGAG